CTTAAGGGGGCTCCTACGACTACTGCTGAGGTCAAAGACAAACAAAAAATAAAGTTTTGTTTTTCAATAAACAAATGTGTCTGAAAATCATTATGATATTTTTAATAACGTATGAAGTGGGAAAAATGATATTTATGTGTGTAGTTTAACTTTGTACGAAAAATTAATTATTGTTTTGACCAGTCTAGTGCATACGAGGGCCAGGCCAGTACAGTGGTACACCAGCTGTGTTGGTGTAGTATAGCGATGTAATATATAGGTTTATGGTATATATGTATGTCGTGTTTGCATGCCTTTCTGCTATTGCTCTACCTCTATAGTGTTTAGTATCTGTATGTCATTAACATCATTTAATTGATAAACAATGGATGACGGTCCTTCTAATCCACCTAAAAAAAAAAAATACCACGCACATAGAGTCTCAAGAGGATGGAGGAAAGGCAAGTTCATTAAAAAAAAGTATGTAACAAAATATGAGAAAAAAAGGCACTCAAGAGGTTATACCAGGTATGTTTATAAAGTTAATTCTTGGATGAAATATGAAATGGAGACGTATTAAGTGATGTTAATTGTAAATACAATAATTTTGTGTATATCTTATTTAATTTTAGGATTCTCAAGCTGTTAATGAGAAAAATATGTGTTCTGGAGAAAGAGAAGTGATTGAATCTACATATTTTTCTAAACAAATGTGGTGCAGCAGATGCAATATTCCACTTTCTTTAGACTTTGCTACAGAAAAGATACAAAAAGGATTAGGGCATACCTACACTGTTCAATGCTGTCAGTGTCCTTTCCAAAAAGCTGTACACACTAGTTCATCTTTTGAAGAAAGCCATCGTTTATTGACTGTCAACGCCAAAGCAGCCATGGGTAGTTAAAATTTTTTTAATTTTTTTTTTGGATAATTGTTTTTAGATGACAAACAAACTCCACTTATATGTCGTAAATGTCGCAATTAGGCATAATCGACAGTGGAATAGGAGGAACCCAGTTCAATTCATTGCTCTCATCATTGAACATTGAACCAGTATCAGAAAATTTACTCAAACGGTATGAAAGAATAGTTGGAAGTGAAGTGGGGGCTCTTGCATTGCAAACCTGTAGTGAATCTTTAGAAGAAGAAAAGTTACTGACAATTGCTGCCCATGATGTGATTACTGACGAGTGAGACTTACATCAATGTATTTTATATTTTCTATAAATTTTTAAAATATTTTTACTATTTATAATAAATTTGGTAATCGACTGAGTGCATGGACTTTATACATCCATGATGACATAATGTATACATTGATTTATTTAAAAAAATTTCGTATATTGTGTTATTTGATTTTTTGAAAGGCAAATTACTGTACGATTTTTTGCTGTATATGTGTAAACCATGTGATTTCTAATCAATAAACAAAAGTTAACATACAAGTTACTTGTATTTGTTGTGCCCAACAATCATTACGTAACTAATACTTACTTACAGGACGGGTCAGGGTAAAGTTGGCTGTACGTTTAGCTATGATGTGGGGTGGCAAAGAAGAGGAACAGGACAATCCTACAATAGTCTTTTAGGTAGTTTTGAAATGTAATATTTTTTAAGTACTTTTTGTACTGAAAATCTCTTACTTATGTATTTATTTTTTAAGTTGTAGTATACTTTACTGTATTTGTAGGGCATGGTATTTTAGTAGGACACTACTCTAAGAAAATTGTTTCTTACGCAGTACGGTCTAAAACTTGTCGTTTATGTGACATGGGCCATAAATCGATCGACCACAATTGTAAAAAGAATTACGATGGATCTGCAAAAAGTATGGAGGCTGACATAGCTGTAGAGCTATATACTAAAAATCCGTTATTTACAAAGCATAACGTTTTTGGTGGTCGACTTGTCATGGACAATGATTCTGCTACAATAGCCAGCCTAAGGGCTGTATCTCATCACAGCATTGAGTTATGGGCTGACAAAAATCACACAGTCAAAGTGTTTTGTAATTCTTTGTGGGCAATGTCTTTACCAAAAACTCTTATAGACTATTTTTCGCATACCTTGAGTAATGCAATAGCTGAACATAAAAATAATCCTGATGCTCTAGCTTCCAAACTGAAAGCTATTGTCCCCCACTCTTTTGGTGATCACTCTCTCTGCACGTTTCATAAAGAAAATGAGACTTATGAATTTAAAAGGCTTCCAAATAAAAAACCTTTGGATGGACAAGCGCTCAGAAGTTCGTTGGATGATCTTATGAAACGATACATTAACAATGTCAATAAAATTGATCCAGCTGCTTCAACACAAATAAATGAATCTTTTAATCATCTCGTTTCAAGTAAAGCCCCTAAATCTAAACATTACTCGGGATTTGAATCGTTAAATTATCGTGTAGGAGCAGCAGTATGCCAAAAAAATAAAGGACTTGAATATATCAACGAAGTGTTTCAAAGAGTAGGTCTTAGTCCACTGAAGAAAGGTTTGAAGTTTCGGAAAATAAAAGAAAATAAAATGAAAAAAAAAAGGCTTTTCGCGAGTAGTCGAGAGGCAAAAACTCGAAAAAAATTTCTGAAAACTAAAAGATCATCCAAAAGTAGTTATGGTAAACGAAAGGAAGGAGTTTCTTACCAAAGTGATATTGGTCTTAGTGGTGTGGTGGACTTACCTATGGAAACTGCGATTCCTTTGTTATATGAAGGAGCCAGCGAAATTAAAGAGTACAAAATCGTTTTCTTTGATATTGAAACTACAGGTCTCGGGCGTACTGATGAAATAGTTCAAGTACGTTCATTTCTCTTTTATTAATTTATTATATACGTATGCTAGCTTGATTTCATATAAAAAATTATTGACTGAAGATTGCAGCTTATCATCAAGAGAAAACTTTTAATGCCTATTCACTGCCAACAGTGCCTATGAAGTCGAAAGCAGCTGAAAAAACTGGACTTGTAGTAAAAAGAGGAGAACTATTTGTCCGGGGACATAAAGTCATAACTGTTTCTAAAGAAAAAGCTCTCATGATATTTTTAGAATTTCTTGAAAATATAAAAAAAATCAATTCTACAGTTGAACCATGTACAATTGTATTGGTTGGTCATAACGTCCTTAGGTAAATCATTGTTATATGCATTTATTAACTAGCTGTTTTTTATTATATAAGTTGTATTAATTATAGTTTTGATGCTGTCAAAATGAAAAATCTTGCAATGGAATTGGGATTGTACGAAAGGCTCAAAAACATAGTGTATGGATACACGGATACTCTAAGACTATTTAGAAAAAAAATTTCCAAACCAAAGAATGAAAAGTTTTCATATTCTCAAGAGAGCTTGGTAACTAAATATTTGCCACAAGAAAATGTTTTATTACTTCATGATGCTGTTCAGGATATCAAAGTACTAAAAAAGTTAGTCGAAACGTTAGGTATATCCAACGAAGATTTAAAAAATGAGTGTCAAAGTATAAGGGGCTTGGATAATGAAAAAATGAGGAAAAGTATTTTGGAAAATAATAAAGCATCCTTGCAGATTTTCAAAAACATATTAAAACCAAGACTGATAACGAAAATGTCAAGAGAAGGAATAAATCTGCGAATTCTAATGGATGCTCATGAAAAAAATCCCACTGAGGGCATAGATATATTACGTATATACTAATACGTACGCATTGATTAATACGTACTATCACAGAAGAAATAAGGAAGATATGTGATAAAAAAGTATCTATGTAACGTACAAGTACCTATACAAAAAAGTGCCAAAAACTAGATAGTCATTGCAAATGTATATTTTCCAGGATTGTTAAAATAATATATAAAAATATTTAGAAGCGTTAAAATATACAAAAAGTTTATATTTATTTAATTCCATACTCCTTATTCGATAAAAATAATGCTAGGTACATACAAACTTCAAGCTATACGAATCTCAACTTTTTGAAAACTCGCGCGATTAGGTGAACAAGTACGTCTGCTACCCACGTGACCTCCTGACCTCCCGGACACTATTTATTTATTT